CCAGTCATGACTGGGTATCAGTCGGACTGGGTACCAGTCATGACTGGAACTGGTGCATACCTACTCTGTATTGCTTAATTTTGTTTGAAGCCGGTCAAATGTTGAAGAACAATAGTTGAATAACTCTTCACGTAACGATCCATCTACTTCAATGGCATTGATAGCATTTGCGTTACCACGAAATTTGTTAATGGAATTAGAACATAATTTTACAACTTCTGAAGATGGACCTATAGAAACCAATAATATCTATGTAGTTTAATTTATGAAAATGATTCTTTAATCATTGGAATAAAAATTTCTGCAAACAAATCTCAAAAACATTCTAATTTCTCTTAACTTTTTATTACGGTTGTTAGTCAGCGCGTCAACAATGACATATTCTTATGACGAAAGAAACATGCAAAATATCAGATTGTTCAGATCTCATCAAATTCTGGTTACAATGATGATGAAGAAAAGTAATTTAGTTTATGAATACAACTTCCTAAGAAAACGGCATAAACAATTTAATCTGATTGCTGTTGAAAAAGCACTTTTATTAAAGAAATCTGGTTATTATTGATTTAATTTCAGCAATACTCTCAAGATAATGACTTTTTCATAATTACAATTGATTATTTTGAAGAATGGTTCACTTAGAATCGGGAAATCGATTAAGATGACATGAATTAATTAAAATCTCAATTAAATAAAATCCAACTTTTCGATCTGTCAATTGATAAGAAGTGACTAGTTATTAACCAATAATAGGTATTTTTTCCTAAAATCGATCGTATACATAGCAGTTGATTGAAATACTGATCATATTAGATCCAACCTCAAGGTCAATAACCGACAACGATCGAGAGTTTTGAGTAATATATCAAATTTCATCTCAAACTCCTTTATAATTCTAAGCAATTAATCACATAACTAACTTATTAAATCTAGTCTTATATCAATGTTGATTAGATTCAGTTAGAATTTCTCATATACATAAACATTAGAGATCTTCAGCTGACACGAACTTGTTCACAAACACGTTATTTGTACATGACATTTATAGACCGATTATCTCTTACACAAGAAAGTTTATAAAAAAAAACAAGTCAAGTCACATCAGATATGACTTTTTAAACATGATTCAAATCGAGAAATCCTTATATCTCTGTATTCTCATTTGTTTGACGTTTATGTGAAATGTATCAAAATAATTCTTTGTCTTTTTGTTTTAGTACGATAGTTAGTGTATGAATTATACATGAACGAGATGCTCAAAGCACATCATTATATTTATTTGAATCTTCAACTCAAGTTCAGTTTGACTTCTCGTCTCTAGTCTACATAGGAGATTGAATTTGCAAAGGATTTTTCGCTATTAATTTCCAAAGACTTCATTGATTAGAATCCATGAAATTTTGTTGAATAATTTACACTCTATCTCATTTGAGAAATCTTATAGTTTCTACGACTCTTAATGATACGATAAATGATTATTATTAACTGCGAGTCATTCTTGATGTCAATCATCGATCAAATTACTGTGCAACAAATTCAAATATTCATGATGCCTTTCATCTATGAATAGAAAATCGATTTGGATTTTGATTGTGTTGCGAAAAAAAAACAGATTGATGCTTTTGATTATGATCAGAAGATTTCGAAATTTTCAGTGAAGAATTTCTTCACTGAAAATTATTTTTTTTTTATGTATACCTGTAACAGTTGGTGTCACTGCAAACTGACCGTGACCATCTTGTAGATTGAAAACCATCACAGCGTTGATAAGATTCCAACTATTTATTTTCTTAATTCGTTGAATTAAAACAAGTCGTTGCTCGTTCGTGTATTCAAGTTTATCGATGATAATATCAATGCTGCACTCGCCTGTTTTTTGAGGATTATCAGCATCCATATTAAAGGTCGTATTGAACCATTTAATGTTCTTGAGTAGGTCATTGTAATTCTGTAACTCATCATCATCATCATAATCATCTTGAGATAACTTTGAAATGTAACCTTGGAGCAATTCAAATCGATGTTTTTTATCGTCAAGTCCACCAAGAATTATAACTGAGCCGAAATCGAAAAGTAATATCTTGTAGATTGAAAATTAGATAAGAAAAAACATCTTATTATCTCCTACTAACAACTAAATTCAAGAAAGTGACGAAAGAATTGACTGAAATACATATTTGTTAGAATTACATATAATTTACTAATATGTATCAAATTGTTTTGCCTTTTCATTTTCTATTACAGACAGAATAATTTTTCAAAGGAAATCGAACACATTTATGTCACTCATGAGGAGTGAACGACTTTCCAAATGAATACAATCCACATAGAGAAAATAAATAAACGTTTATGTGTGAGCATGTTGTTTGACCTTAGATGAAAAAAAGAAGAATGACTACTCTTTAGAACAAACAAATATATTTCTATCAATAAAGCTGTTTAATACAATGAAATCTTTTTTGCCTTTGTTATATTTCTCTAAAAATCTTTCGAATAGTTTTCGTATACTCAACTAATGTAATTTTTGTTCATTTGTAAATGTAAGTTATTTCTGAAGAATTTCAAGATGATAAATAAAAAAATATTTTCTTTTAGAAACTTTAAATTTGATTTCAGTCTTTAAAAGCAACTTCTTTTCAAAGGTACGTATCATATTAATAGCAATTTACATTTCATACTCATAAGATGACTCTCACAACAATTTTTTCAAAACTTCATTTAGAACGAATATTTATCTCGCTCTGCACATGTATCTCGACCAAATTTATCAACGCTTTCTTTTTTGCATAAACAAGAAATGGATCATTTTCAAGCAGATTTCATGAGAATTTCTAATTTTCTTATTCTAATGTTTTCAAGAATTCTTTTCTTACGTAATTTTATCCTCCGACGAATTCAATCTAATATGTTCAACCATATTTTGTAAAAATAATCGAACATTTTCCATTGTAAATACTTCTGGAAGATAATCATCAGCTTTATGTTCAATAAATATTTTTTTACTATTATTAAGAATAACAACAGAACAAATACCTATATAAATCAACAAGTAGATATTTAATAAAGGTAAGGATTTAATTTTCATAAATAAGATTTTCTGTCGAATCTCCATTGGATCTCATTGTTGAAATGGACAAGACTTTTCAGAAACTTTTGGTATATTAAAATATACTTAGATCGCTTCAGATGAAAGACTAACAATAACAATGACGAGTTCATAGTGTTTTCATCATTTTTAATCGTTGCCAAATAAAATAAATTAGTTGAGATGTTACTTTTTTTCTTGTTAATAATATCCTTTATTTAATTTTATTAAGAATCTCTTTATTGAATATAAGAAATATTAAAGATTTATAAATCTAATCCATTTTTTCGTTTGATTCTTCCTCACCCAGACTTTTTCTTCTCTCAAGTATCAAAAGTTATGTAAAGATTCATCTTTCGTTAATGATTTTTAAAGAGGAATACTGAGCAATTCTTATCATTAATTACAAGCAAAATACCTGATGTTCCTAAATAAGTAGTAGATAGATCATAATGGTTCATCTCCACATCATGGATTTTAGAAGTCTCGTTTGAATGATACATGCTTTTTCTATAGATACAAGTATATAGATTTATATAAACAATCAAAATCAGTTGAACGTACATATAGAAGATATCGATTATGTGTAACAGTAACACGAAAAACGGGTATTTCGAATATGAATCGCGTTAGAAGTTATATTCAGACTTTTCTTTTTTCTTTCTAAGTAACACGTGCATTTCAGACAAAATATGAAAGTGAACAGTCAGAGAATAATTATCTTATATCCAGCTCGTAATCTATTCCAGAAGGTCACGAACAGATTATATTAAATACAAATTCCTTATATAAAAGTGAGCAACCGATGGTTAATATGGAAGTATTCAGTAATCGTACATCTCACGTTCAAGACTGATGAGTATAGATTATTTCAATCAAGGAGAATCCGTAAGAAAGTAGTTGAAACATATTCCACATTGATAAATCAAATAAATCAATTGCTGCGATCTATTTATATATATATCATATATTTTGTTCACCTTAAGTTGAACTGAAACGAGATGATACTGTGGTTTGGCTCTTATATTTACAATTTCTTTTTGATCTTTCAATTGAATCATTGATGATCGTGTGATTTAAAAGTTCTTCAAGAGTATTTTATCCCACCTGTGATTCTATATTTTGCTTTTCTGTATTAATGATGTAAAATGTCAGAGAAAAAAAGAATTGGTACACATTATGAAACAACTTTGCAATATTTATTTTAAAAAAAAATCAAGTTCCAATATATTATCTTATCAAAAACATCTATAGTTTCCAGATTTATAACTAAAAAAATAAATAAAGAGTGCAAGAATAATAGATTTCATGCATTTGACTTTCAAGAGCAATTTGAGGTTCTTACAAACTATAAAAATGTGGAAACTTCGGATTTAAATCCGAAAGTTATGTGTACTTCAAAAAGTGAATGAGCCAGATGAGTCATCTTAGAATGTGCAGACATAAAAATTATCCTGGTAAACCTTGCCTATAAACACTTGGCTTCTATTGGCTACTGCTCATCCAATAGGATTTGGGAGTGAATACAGCTCAGATTTGAACTCTTCACCTTGATTTACCCTAGGAAAGTCGTTTTTTCTATAACTTGATTTCTATTGGTTAATGATCAACTAATGAGATTTCGAGACGCATGGAGCACAGATTCGAGTTCTCCACCCCAGAAAACCTCGAAGTATTATCTCTGTGATTGGAAGATAGAGCTCTATTTGTGAATCAATTAGAGCGTCGACAAAAACAGAACCGAATTTCATTTAATTATCTTTGCAATAGGTGAGTTAGCTTTCTTGTTACTTTATGTTTTATATACCATTTTGTAGCTCTTGAAATTCTCTATCGAATGGTATATAATAGTTGGGGTTTTAATTGACTATGATAGGAAAAATTTTTTACGAAAGCAGAGAAGGGTCTATCTTCTCATAGGGAAAAATGACTATTTTTGCAACAACTCAGCAATGACTTGGCCAATCATTCTCATCTTCGAACTCGACCGAGACATTGTTAAGACTAAACTGTGTAGAAAATTTCATCGCAATTGGACTCTTCTTTCAAAAGTTATCGTGTAAACGGCCGGCCGGACGGACATACTGACCGATTCTAGAGTGTACTCACTTTTTGAGTACACAAAAACTACTTTCAGTTGAAAGCTTCGATTATAAAATAAGATTTTTCTGGAAGTTTTATTTGATTAATTCAATCATAACAGAATATCATGGTCTTTTATTCTCATATTAATACACATAATTAAACAGAATTTTCATAAGGAAAAAGTATGTTATTAATTGTTAAAGTAAATTCTGTACTTGTCGATGCGTTCATCCGTTCTTTTTCGTCCATTTAATGTTTCTCTGGTAGAACCTATCAGGTCTAAGAACTTCTGGACCCGAATCCGGATCCGACTAATTAAAAATTTTTGGACTCGGACCTGGTGAATTTAGTTTTTCTGGACCCAGATCTGGACCCGGTCGGTCAAGATTTTCAGACTCGGACTTGATTGATCATTTTTTTGTGGGTCCTGACTTGAATCATACTCTTACTTCTCTTAATAAAATTTTCTAATCTGATTTTGATTGTCGCTCCGAAGATACGATATAGTTTTCATATTTTTTTCTGTTAGATAATTAATTAGTATACGTAGGGGTCTCAATTCATAGTTACTTTCAACTTAATTCATATGTAAATTAAATTGTCAGTAATTTATATTTATTGCTAAATATAAATAAGCTTTTTTTATAATTTATTTTCAAAAATAAATATAAACAATCATATATTATATTTATTTTAAATATAAATAATGATTATTTATATTTATTTTTAAATATAAATCATGAAAAAGAAAATACTTATGTTTGTTTTAAATATAAATTACCGATAATTTATATTTATTCTAAATTGACAGGAAAATGACACCCTAAACATACTTTACATATTCTTTAAACGATCCGATAGTGATCCCATAATAACTAAGTTACAATTAGTTTTTACTCCTATTCAATAGTTCCTAATAAAAAAATGAATATATGCATTACAAAGGTTTTATACATTTCCATCTATTTTGAAGCATTCGTATCTATGCAGAATTTTTCCTAAGTACTATATTGACATCTTAAAAGTAGTATTGCTTCTAAGATTATCATTTTTCAATTAAACCGATTTGAATGAATTTTTAAACTAAATTAGCATAGATTTCGCAAGTAGAGGTATCCAACACTTTGAGAATCAATAGTTTTTCTTCAATCGGACATCACACGCTAGACAAATTAAAGATTAATACAAGGGAAAAAATTCCAATATTCTGATTTATTCTAAATCATGCTAATTTATTCAGACGTAATGTTTGCTTTTTCACACTATTTAAGTAGCCATAGACAACAAAAAAAGAACTTCTAGACATTTTGTATTTCTTTTATCCTAATATTAAAATGTGCGATGCCTGATTCGATGATTCCGTATATTCATACAACTGACAACCAAAAAGTAGTTTAACAAAAAAAATACTTAGCCAGGGAAGGATATAGATTATGTAAAAGCGTTGTTTCTTTTAGAGAGAAAGATAAAATCTTCTAATTATCTTCTTTTCATTCTCTTATAGCCCCTTGTTTTTTATACAGTTTGAAATCATAGTGGTACGATCTTTTCAAAAAATATTATTAGCCATGCAATTAGTTTATTTTACTTTGCTATTTGTTTTATGAACTGAAAAATATGACTAACAAGTTCAAATATTTATAAATATCTTTTATATTTAGTAATGGATTTTTTTTTGAGCAAATCATCAATCTCTAATGTCATTTGTGATCTTAGTTTACTTATATGAAAATAAATCAATCAATAAAAAAGAGTAAAGATAGGAAGAATTTTTTTCGTTTAACCATGATCATTCTTGATATTAGTTGAAAATATTTGAGTCTTTTTTTATTTGTTTTATTTAGATAATGAAAAAAGAAATTAAGAAAATACAATACAAAAAGACAATAATAATATATATTATTAACAAAACAAGATCCAACAATTTTTTTACAATTTAATTTTAACAAGATAAATGTTTACTTTTATTTAAAATATCTGATTTGTTGCATAGCTTCTTTTGGTGACTTTATTTCATTTATTGTAAATTCAGTTTTTTTTTTAAATATGAAAAATAATTAGTAATATCATTTTTATCCATAAATATTTTATCACCGATGAAAAGCGGCTGTTCCAAGGGGGAAACAGCAGAGACTTCAGCCGTGAAGTCCCATGAAGTCTGTGAAATCTCGTGAAGTCTCATGAAGTCTCATGAAGTCTATGAAGTCTTGAAGTCCTCTAATTTTTCTTGTAATGAGTCTCATGAAGTCTGATGAAGTCCCATGGAGTCTCGTGAAGTTTCATGAAGTCCCATGAAGTCCATGAAGTCTCTCGAAGTCCCATGAAGTCCATGAAGTCTCTCGAAGTCTCTCGAAGTCCCATGAAGTCTCTTGAAGTCTTACGAAGTCTCCTATTGAAGTCTCTTGAAATCTTTTGAAGTCTGCTGTTTCCCCCTTAAAATTTTCGTTTTGTTTGTTACATAAATAAATTATTTTAAAATTATTTAAATTTATCTAGAAAAAAAAATTGACTAATTTATTTTAACAAAAATTGATTTACCTGTATTGATATATTATTTCCATCCGCCCAGAAATTGACATTTAACTTATTGAGGTTGTTAAAACGACCATCAAGTAAATAACAACAATCATGTAAATGTCTTAACTTAATATTTAATTCTAGCAAATTATTTGAGGAGATGTCGTGTCGTCGTGCTGTATCAAATGAGTGATAATGCAAAAAAAATTGAGTTCGTTCGAAAATTAAATAATTTAAATTTGGAAATACGTTCAAAACATTTCTAAAAATATTTATCATTACATCAGTTGCTAATGGTATATATGTTTCTTCAAATTTTAATGTTATTGATGTAATTTGATCTTGAAAATTGAACACCGATGATCTACCCAGGACGAACAATCCGACAGTGGATCCCATCGGATCCTATCGAATCCTATCCAGATCCTATAGGATTTTATTGGATCCGGGTCACGATCCGACTAACGGATCCATAGTATTGGAATCCGATCGGAATCCGATAGGATACTATAGGAATCTCGTCGGAATCCGACTGCTGGAGTTCCTATCGAATCCGACTGTTGAATTTGATCGGATCTCTGTCGGATTCGATCGGATGTCTCTCGGATTCCAACACTAGGATTTGTTCGTCGGATCGTGACCCGGATTCCGATCGGATTTTGTAGGACTCGTTGGATCCTATAAGATACCATCGGATCCCTGTCGGATTGATTGACCTGGGTACCTAAATATATATTAATTTCTTTATGAACAATCGAATTAAATAAAAATTAAGTTTCTTGCGATGAAATAGAAGCTCTGTTTCTGTTAGGTCAACATTAGTGATGATGTTATAATAGAATATAAAGGGGTCCTACCTTGATGGCCAAAGGTACGTGATCAGTTGAGGAGGGGATGTAAGATCAGTTCAACTGGATAATTTATTTCACGAAGACAAAATAACACACACAAGAGAGGTAGTAATAAATGCTACTGCTCTGCATCAAAACAAAATAGCAACTGAACGATATCAAAATCAGAAAAAATTCTAAAGAGAGAGATAGACAGAACGAAAAAGAGAAATCTTACTATTGAACGAACGAAAGGAAAAAATCTAATTAACTACAGAACGAAAAGGAAGACGTCGACAAATGAGAAAATAAGAAGAAACCAATTGAACTTCGTTCAATTAAGTTAACGTTGACATAGTGTCATCTGTTGACGCTAACAGTTTCATCGATGGGCATATTAAATAAACCAAGTCCATATAAATTTGGATAAATTGCAAAACAAAGAATACGGTCTATTGATAAAAATTCAAGATTAAGCCATTTGATGTTATTGTAAATTTTCGGTAATATTCGAAAACACAAACGATCAATGACATAATCATATAATAGATCAATAATGTTATTCGATGACCATTTGAATAATGTTAAGCGATTCGTAAAAATAGGATCATATACAAGTTTATCTATTTTATCATGAGTATCTAATAATGAGTCAAAAGCTTCGACGGTATTGAATTTTGTAAAAATCATAACGAGTATTTCATCAGGTAAGTCAAGTAATCCAATAGATTGCATTTTTACATTGATATGTTAATAAGTATATATTGTCAAAGTTGATGATGAATGATAAATAGTTACTTTTTAACGAAATAATAATTGTTATATTATTTTTTTTTGTTAATATAAAATTTTCTCTATTTATATTAAATAATCAGTAAAACAAGTTTGAATGACAATAATTTTTAAACAAGTAATGATTGATATTATTAAGACAAATATTTCCAAAATATTATAAATTAAAATTTGATTATTTATTGTATTGATTTGTGTGCCTTTCTTTCAATTAACAGCAGATGCATTTAGTGGCGGCGCCAGACTACTAGCGCTCCTCTTGTTTTTTTGGGGGGGGGGGGGGGGGGGGGGGGGGGGGGGGGTGGGGCAGTAGAAGGTGGCGCCCCCAACATGCGTGCCTTGTAATCAAGAATAGACGGTGTCAATATAGTAGAAGGACATTCTCCTGCCCTTAATAGAAGAAGAGGGAAGCTTGTGTTCTAGTTCCGCCATTAGCGGCTCTACTATTGATTTGTATCCTGGAGAACACGACATACGTAGAGATGGTGCCACCTTCCACGGCCCCCCCCCCAAAACAAGAGGGGCGCTAGTAGTCTGGCGCCGCCACTAGATGCATTTCTTATTGGTGATATCTATATTTATATTTTTCGGAAAAAAATTAAATTCAAAATATGTCTACATAATATGCTCTAGAACAATCAAAGTAACATTATAATATAGTCGTTTCTAATATATTTAATTTCAGTAATAACGCATCCAGAAGGATGCCTGTTTCCAGAGGGATCGCAATGATGTATCTATATATGATGAACTCGAAATTTTCTCGGTTGCTCATAGCTGAAGTTAATAACGTTGATATAATAGAATTGTTAGTTACAATACTTTTTTGTGATTATTAAAAAAAATTTCAAAATATTTTTAAAAACAAGTAGCTCTGTGCTCCTAAAAAAATCACACTGTACACCCTTTCAACTCTCAAGAAGTTCCCTCACAGCTCCCTCTCCCATCTCTCACTTTTTTTCTTCACTAGACACGTCCAATCTAACACGCCATATTCGCCAAGATCAATTTCAGATTGAACACAATGTCAATTTCGACGATGACATATAAATACCGTAGAGAACCTTATACTAATCGATGAAATTATAACTTTATCAGACAAAATTGACGAACGTTATAACTTTATTTTGTCTGATCACATTATAATTCCGTCAATTTTGTCTGATGAATTTATAATTTCGTCGAGCTGTGTCACTTTTATATGACATATATATATATAAGATAAGATGAGAATAAGAAAATGAATAGCAAAATTGAAGCATATCTATTAGTGATATATTCTAATAAAGATTTCATTTCATTTAATATTTATTTTATCGAATTCAAGTTTGTTTTTTATATTTATTTTAAAAAAAATGAAAAACTAATGTTATCTGTTGTTTTCAGATTATTCAGCAATTACTATTACTATCAATTAACATCAAGAAAAAAGTAAATTTTTATTTAAAGTATATATTATGAAAAAGTTTCTTTTTTTTTCTTTAAATAAGAATGATAAAAATCTATTAAATAAGAAATACGTTTTTTATTAATTATTAAATTTTCTTCTAGATAACAATGGAAATATTAAGATTTCCGTTTCTTAGGGGTCTTTTACGTCAATATGCAAACAAATACGAACATCCAAGAGAAAAATTGATCGTTTTGGTTCATTGGACTTTTTTAATTCAAAATTTTTTAGTTTTAAAGGATGATGAAGTAAGAAACTACTTTTTTTTTGCAATGTTAGTTAATTGATATTGGTTATTTTTTTTTAGAATAAGGATATGATAGATTGGATAAAAAATGAAAATGATTCAATTAATATTATTTATTTTCAAAATAATTTCATCATAGAAACTGAACAATTTTTTGATAATGAAACTTTTCATATTCGATTGAAGATGGTAACTATTAGATATAATAGATTATCTTCAAATCTTTTTCTTTTGTTTTCTAGGATGAAAATATTCAATCATCTCTACAAATGTTAATAAATGATTATATTGATGAAAATGATGGGTAATCTCTTCAAACATTTTCTTCTTATCAATCATTTATTATTAAAAAAAAAATTATTTTTTTTTTGTGTGTAGATCTTTAAAAGATGTTGATGAATTCATATTAGAAATAAGAGGTGAAATATTCGATTTAGAGATGGTTAACAAGAGAAAAAGATGGGAAGAAGAAAAAAAAGGTATACTTAATTAATCAAGAGAAGTAAGAAGAACGAATATGAATATTTAATTTTTGTTTTTTGCTTTTAGAAATGATAATCAAGAATAAATTCCATCATCATTTCATGGTTAAGTTTCTACTTTAAATAATTTTAAAAAAATGTTATTATTATTATTATTTATGTAAATTAGATTTATATTTATTTAAATAAAATTGAAGATAAAAATTGAATTTGGTTTAAGAAAGTGAATCATAATAATGTCATCAGAATGTTCTCGGAATAAGTTGAAAGCCTTTTTTTATCTATTTGAATAGTTGTTTTTTTAAAGATATATTTTTTAATTTTCAACAGAAAAGAACATATGTCTGTTTATCTGAAGTTTATTTATTTGATCATCTCTTTTAGTCTTTTAATTAATGATTTTTTTTTGTTCTCTAATTTCATTCTAATTTATGAGATAAATCGCACAAACTTATTGAGTTTTGATTTAGACGTGTAAAAAAAAAATGCATAATCCAATTAATAAAAACTTATTCTAGTATTTAGCTAGAGAATCTGTGACCAATAGTGACTTCAACAATCAGATTTATGTAAGATATCTTCGAGCATAAATCAGTATCTAATATGAATGAAACTTTTTTGATCTGATCCTATTGAAAGATTATTTGAGTCATATCTGACCTATTCCGAAGTGAAACATTTCTTGTGAGCAGACTTGGGACCAGTTACTTATGTACATACATGACTTGATAAAAAATTCTTTTATAGTTGGACATTGTATTTTTGTGGTTTGCTATGACAAGATTGAAAGAAAAAAATGTCAAAAATAAAAATGAGAGATGAAGTTAAATATATAAGATTGATGGTGAGGATGAGGAAGATTTCTACTTTAATATACTCTTATTTTTCACATTTCTATCTATCTGCATTTGCATTTCGTTTTCAAAGTGTTTCTTTTTGTATGAAATGTATTAAATAAAAAAGAAAAAAAATCAAATAATCTTATTTGATTTGACTAAAATCTATGTCGAGAATTAAAAAGAAATGATTTATTAAACAATAAATAGAATGAATTAAATTGAATATATTTTTATTAAAAAAAAAATCTGAATAATCTCTTGGAAAGAATATTTTATTAAGTAAAATCTACTGCGTACATTCCACTCTTGTACACATTATGTAAAAGAAGATGAACATCGAAATTGAGATATATTCTGGTTGATATATCTCCAATTAGAAATTTCGTTTTGTCTTTATTTTCTATCTCCATATCTATTAATCGACTTAACTTGACAATAAAAGTCTTAGGATTTCACTATATAAGTCGCTTGGAAACGTGTTGATTATCAATTCGAATGAAATACTTTATTGATAAATGAATATTTTAGTTAATCATTTAGCAAACTAATAATCATTGATTTCTATCAGTTGAAAAGATTTTTATCAGATAAATATTTCATAGAATTTTTTAATATTTGATTATATTTCCTAAAGTTTCTACTAACTCCGCTGCAGAGAATATTTCAATATAATCGATATCCTTTGGATCCTGTTTATTAGATCAGTTTATATAAAGAATGTCATCAATTAATATAAACGCCTACTAGATTTTCTTATTGGTTTGTTAATGACTCATTAAAATCTGATATAATCTGTTAAGATTTCGTGTGACTTATTATTGTTGTGTGTGTGTGTGTGTGTGTATATATAGCATTTGCGTGTCATCATCATGTTAATCATGTAGATTGTTGTGTTATTATATTGATATTGAAATAAATGTGGCCATTAATAGAAAATATTTGTTAAATAAATGAAAGATTTAATGAAATAATAATATCACACTTTAATAATTTATTTGGCAAAATAATTATTTTAATATAATGAAGATAAATCCTATAATAGATAGTTTAATATTCTAAAATAAAATAGAAAAAATAATTATTGTTAATTAATGTTAACTATGATTTATCATGCATACAGCAAAAATGACTTCCTGCTTTGTTTATCATTTTGTAAGCAAAGATTATATATCAAAATACAAACAAACATATTTTATTAAACAAAAATAAATATCCAACTATAATAAAGTAAAAAAAAAAGATTTCATCTTTTAGTGTAACAAGTTAAGGATAAAAGTATAGGGAGATTTAAATGAAAATTTTATCTAAATAGAAAAAAACTTGTAATGTTTAAAATATATTGATAAATAGTTTATCATTTTTATGAATGATTAATTAAGAATATTAGATATGCAAATAGATTGATTAACATAAATATATTATTCTATTTGATTGATAGAAACAGAATTCGAATGTTCAATCGATTTAATTAATATACTCATATTATCTTTAGAATATTTTTATTTCGAAGATTAAAAAGAAAATTAAAAAAAATCAACATTCAATAAATTAAACAAGAAAAATACAATTTTTGACAACATTTCACACAAATACAATAATATTTGTTCATTTATTCAATATGAATTTGATTTGAATCTCTCTATTGTTTAATATTGATCTAAACAATTAAATTTTATTATTAACAGATGTTTACATTTCAATCGAATAATCAAAGCAAATTTATTTATTCAATGGTATATCTTTAACAAAACATTTATCTAGCCACATCTTATATTTATCTTAATCAATCAATATTAAATCTATTAGTTATATTCGCAGATTAAAATTGAATAGATTTAAAATTTCTTGTAAATAATCTTCGAATTATTTGACAAACGAATAGTAAAAAATAAGAGATAGTTTCAATGTTCTCTCTCTTATCCATTGGTTAATGAAGATTCTCTCTCTGTTCTTTATTGAGTCAAAAAAAAAAGTCGAATGACTAATAATAACGGAAATTTGATAAACTTATCAATACTAAAATACACACACACACACACACACACACACATATTGATAATAGTAAATAAATAAAATTGTCTAAATAGTATCGATATAATGATATAAATCTATTCATTTGATTTAGTTCTAAATCATTTCAATTATCATATTATCTATTGATAAACCATGCAACATTAACAGTTACTTTTATTTAAAATATTCTTATGAATTGAAATATTTTTTTATTTAAATTCTAAACAATATTCATTTGTTTATATTTATATTGCATATTTAATCTAACCATGAGATATTAATGATGAGTACCTTCTGTACTTAAGTATGTTTGTTTGATGATAAGTTCTCTTTTTTTTTCATTTAATTGAAACATCATCTAATGATGCATTAACTAAAAACGAGACTAAATTGTTAATTTCTATTCAAATAAAACCAATCCGGAATATTGAAAATAGTAGATGATTTCTTTTTTTTTTCTCTTCTCATCAACTTCTTTTTTCCGTCTCATTATTTTTCTATATATAAAATGAAGTTAACGACTACTGCATTATTAAAATCGCGCCGTGTGAGGGTGTTTGTTAGGAGCTTTACTCACAGAAAAAAGTCGACTGATGTGCTACTTTTAATTATATGAGAACATAAAGAAAATTTTCATAATGAGACACTAGAGAGATATATAGATAGTAAAAAGCCACTAGTTTTATATTCACTAGAAATATAATTTACTTTAGTCATATAAGATGAGAAAATATTTCGAGAGACATTTTTAATTAAATGTAGACATATATTAACTAACGGTAGGTGACAACTAACTATTAACTAGCAACTAGAACAGTACATTATTGTTCTTCAGAATAGACAATAACGATAAATAAAAGTATTTGTTTGCATGTCAATCAAACAATTTGTATATTTGCGAGGCAGTGTTAAACAAATATAGACTTTTCTTATATTTTTTTTCTATATAGTCACTTGATTCAAATAAGAACGTTGAGGGTTAAAAGAGTAATTAATGATAAATATGCGTGACAAACTAATTATTTTAGATTTCTCGACATTTTTCTTAAATTGTCAATGAAAATGTTCAAAGCACATTGCGCATTCATGGTTTTAGTCTTTATCATGGCTATCTTATCTTCGAATAGCGTTGAAAGTCGAATCGTTTATGGAGTTAGTATTTGTTTTTACTTTATCACATAAAATATATATGAAATATTATATTTAGACTGTTGGAGGTATGCCATTATCTCAATATGATAATATTCGATTTATCAATGGAAAAATCTTTAATGAAAATAGCAATGATGATGAAGAAGAAAATCATGGAGAATATTTTCATACAAAACGAAAAAGTGAACTATTATCATCATTATATGGTTTACCATATGCTCTTGTCGGAAAACGAAATGCAGAATAAATATTAAATGAAATTGAATATCAATTATGCATTGTGCACATTTCTTTTTTCTCTCTCTCTCTCTCTTTCTTTAATCCTATTTAGTGCATGTTTAACAACAATTTAAAACGATCCTTCTTTTGAAAATATTTAATAAAGGAATATAATGTCGGCAAGAAAAAAAAATAAACAATCGTCTTCGTCGATAACATTTTGTTAAATAGATATAGTAGACATTATTATCCATAGTCTTCGTATCATATTTAAACGAGAAAGAATAAAAATAAAAACAAATGATTATTATTATTATTATTATTATTCGTTACATTTGAGAAATAGTTTCACCTCAATCATTCGAATTATCTTGATAATTCTCTATATTGTCATATATATTCTTGAGGAATTTGAGTAGTACAACAAAAAAAAGGTCTATCTTGTTCATCTAAATTATATTTTTAATGAATTATAAATAGTATTAACTTATTTATCTTCACAGAGATACACAATCTACCCGTGCCTGGAAACGCGCGTTTACGCAAATCTTTTGACTCTGGCGAAATTTTTAGAAAATGTCAAGATCGGTAAATTTTTCAAAGAATGTCTTCCTCTAAGGAGAAATCATAAACTCAATAAACGGTTACTCTAAGTTTGTTTTTTTCTTCCTTTGTTTATTCATTCATAGACCTAGGACATTGTCCTATTTGCATGCACATCATTCGTCTCTAAATGCCTTTTTCATTTCTCTATTCCATTTTCCTCTCAGCACTGTTTCTTGTCATTATCAACGAGTATCCGTGTAAAGGCAAAATAGCATCAACCTTCATAATAGTAGATTATTTTACGGCCAAATATAATAAAATAATGATATAAATATGCAACGATTGTATATTTGTCTCTAGTCGATGATATTGGATATAATAGATTCTATTTGTGAATGATACATTGCAATCTATCTCATTTATTAGCTATAATAAGTTATCTGCACATGATTCTTTACGAAATTGTTCTCTCCCAAAAAAAAAGACTACTGTTTAGAAAATGACTCATGTAATGAAAGCCGGAGAAAACGGTCGATTTACCGCAGTTAACCGATGCTTCAGTGCAATTAATCGGCATCGTTTGACTCTTGGTTTTGTTAATATTTGTAGTTAAATTTAATAGTTATTTTTCAATTAAACTAATTTTTATTTCAACCAAAAATAAAAATACAAACCGATGCAAAAAAAAACATACATATAAAAACTAATCTTACAGCATAAATATAAAAAAAATCTTAATTCTCAACTGAACCTCTTTATTGTTATATTGATTCGTTTCTCTAAACAAACAATCAAACAAAATAAGTGATGCGACAGACACGCATATGTACATATACATGTTTTTTTCGTTCTGCAGCTGTTTGCTTTCTATAGTTCACTAGAAAAATTACTGGTGAACTGCAATTAACCGGTGAAATTTATAACGAACCACAGTATCAATTAGAACCGGTTGTTTACCACTAAAAATGATCCGGTTTTTGTGATGTGGGAATCCAGATGGATTAGCAGGTCATTGTATTTTTCTTATTGATTTGTGCTAAAATTGAAAACTTTCAAACTTTTTAGTAATAATTTACCTAAAAATCAAGAGGTTGCCCAAAGTTTTATAAAGATTTCACCTCTTTAAATATAAAACATGTTGCTTGAATAAATCAATTGTCAAAGAATATATTCATATTAGAAGACACTTTCGAGAAGAATGATGCAAAAAACTCCAATACAAATCAATAGTTTTCTATTGTGGGAGGAATTCTAATCGGTTTCGATTATTAACAATTTTTTGTAGCTGTTCTATGTTCATAATATCACTTTATTAGGTTTTCGTTGCATGATAATTCATTGTAATCATAATAATTTCGGTTTCTTTTACGTCGTGATCATTTTTGACACCATACTGATAGATCACTTTTGATGTTCGGTTTCTATAAATATGCATCCTCAAACAAAGAAACTCTTTTTTAGGTAGAGAAATTCTCCGAAAAACTTTTGTCATTTGGGAAAATTTTTCATTGTTGTGTCAGATTTTGCACCTCTACGTCTTTATCTGTTTTACATTCAATTTCAACAGGACAACTTCCTAATTTGCCAGATACATTACAAATATAAAAACCTTCATCATTTAATGTTTTATTGACTAATCTTATATTAAGATCTTCTTGAATACGATTAAAAAAAAACAGTTGATGTCTTTACATAAAAGTCTTCAACAATGGATGAATAACCATTATTTTCTAAATAAACAAATCAATGATTTGAATAACAAAAACTATTTAAAAAAGTCGATACTATGTTGACAATAATGTCTATGATTATTGAATCGACTTTCAACATGATGACCTTCAGCCACACCTATACTACTATATATATCTTTATAATACTTTGTTCGTTAATAATATCTTTTTTCAAAACGAACAGCATGAGGCAAACATTTTTTTCCTGGACGTACCTTTATTAATCGTTAAGGATAGATTTATTAAAGAAACTAATATAAGATAAACCTAACGTACCTAAAGATTGCCTCCACTACTAATCTCATTTCCCATTTCAGATTGATTAGCTTCAGATCGAAAATGCTCACTGTCATCTCTATTTTTTCTTATAGAAATCAATTTTTTCGAATAATCATTTGACAATTATTTTAATAGTTTTTCGTTATTCAACAAATATAAAAACAATAGATTTATCTTATTTATTAATATCTACTTGAAAACAATTCGGCTACTAACACTTGATGATGATGATGATGATCTATAAGCTAAAATAGAATTAAATTCAATAAATGAATATTTCTTGTTTATTTATTAGTGAAAATTCGATTATCACTAGCACTAATAGATAATGGATTACTATCTATATTAACGAATCAAACAATTTAATTCAATATTTAATATGATATTATTGTTTACGACTATAAATTATCGATGATCGACTAGACGAAGATAAAGACGATCGACTGCCTAAAATATTCAATTTAATAGAAATTTTTTTCTTAATTAAAAAAATGTCTCATTGGAAAAAGAACTTGAACGACTGTTATTGCCACTAAATCGACTACTACTTCATAGATGAAAATCGAGCTCGACAAAATCTTTTTAATATTTGATTAGCATCATTTTCTAAATAAAAATATCAAAAAACAAAAATATTCATTTATCATAATTACCTAAATCAATTTTAGTTAAATTAAAATCTTCTATTTTTAAAATAAAATATATTATCATCATATTCATTTATTTTTATATTATTTTTATTTAATCTATCATATAAAGCAATATTTTTATATTTTATTATTAAGAAAAAAATTCAAATTAAACAATAGAATTATTATTATTGAGGGTTTACACGATTTACTTTCCATGGATTTACTTTACGTTGATTAGTTCGGCGAAAACAAAGGAACAGATGAGTGGTCATATGACTACTGATCTGCTCCTTTCTTTTCACTGAACTAATTCCTCGACAGCGAGAATCATAATTTTCTATTAAAAAAATCGAATTAAAACTGAAAATAATCAATGGAAAGTAAATGATGCAGTCAATTATTGAGAAGATGTATCGTCCCAATAATAAAAGTATGATCTATCTATTCATTTTCTATCGTTCAATCATGTTAGACTCTTCGATCACTTATGTTACCTAGACGGTCTAATTTCATCAACGAGATAATAGATGTCTGCTCACTCTTTCAGTTTCTCATTCTCTCTCTCGTATATTAGTTTGAGGTCTACGTCAAGTGGACACACCTTTGAGTAATGAAGTAGTGTAGTCAAGATCTATAGTGAAGGCGTCGGTAATGCTACTAGTCGAATTTGTCATCATTGATCATAATAAAATACAGAATCCATTAATAACGAAAGAGAAGATCATAAAATATCTCTGATTTTCGTTCGATTTATTCTTATGAATATCTGGAAATGTTATTATTGTCAATAATCGATATTATCTATTTGGTTGATTTATTTCTATAAAGAGAATAACAAAATTGATAATTTCAATGATATAATACAATATGATATATGTCAAATTTTTTCTTCAACAATAAAACAAAACGAAATAATATTTTTGAAATTGATTTATCCTATAGACAGAAAAACAATGATGAATTAGAAAATGTTATAAAACATGAATAGAAAGATAGAGATATATAGATATGTTTTTGTTACGATGTTGTAAAAAGATGTTCATATGATGATAAAGCGCTACGAAATGATAAAAAATCTTCATCATTTATATCTCGTCGTTGTTGATTATTTTCTGTTGATATTAATGTAAGTTGAACAAGTTTATTAAGTTGTTCCATACGTTGTTCGATTGAAAATATAAGACGATTTATAAGAGAACGACATGCTGGAATTTGACCAATTTTTAATAATAATGAAAGAATTTCTATTGTAGATAATAATGTTGAATATCTATTTTACAAAAAAAATATTTTATTTTCAAATGAAAAATTTTTCAATTTTTTTTTGTTTTCTATTATTATACCGTGCTTCAAGTAATTCAGCATCACGTGGCATAACAGCACTAGTTCGAAATATATTATTAGCTTTGATTTTTAATTTGTCTATTTGACATGTAAATTCATTCAATAAATTTCCATTTTCATTAAATTGTGTTATAACATGTTTCATTTGACTTAAATCAAATAAACGAGAATAAAGATTATTTGAATCATCGACTATTTCACGATCACAACATAATCTTTTTTATAAATATAAAATAAATTTAGATTAGTTATCATTTAACTATTGGATTTTAACATAAAAAAAAAAAAAAAAAAAAAACAAGAAAGTTTAAAAAGTTCACCTGACTAAATTTGTTGGTTGATCAAAATGATCGTAATTATCTTCATAATAATGTTCAATAATAGAATCTAATTGTGTTGATTTTATAGTTGATGATACATTTAAATTGTTAATTGTTGAATTAAAATGATCATTATTTATTTTTTGTATAGTATCACCATCAATTAAATTATTTTCATTATCATTAAATAATGGGTCAATTTTAATAATGCATGAACTATCTATTATATATTTATCATATTCATTTGACATAGGTGCTTCCGATATTAAACAAGATTCATCTTTATTATCAATAGGATTTTCTGCTTCAATTGATTTATTAACAATATTCGAATTTTCGTTGATTTTTTCTATATGTTTATTATGTGTATTACCATTCGAATTAATTCTCTGTAAACTATAATAAAAAAAATAAATTCAATTCGAATATATATATTGACTTAGTTAACAATAAATGTTCTTCAGAATATAAAATTAAGATGATAATAATTTAACTCACATTGATTGATGATTAATTTGTTTTTTTGTTTTTTTATTGTGTTTAACAACAGCAAAACAACTTCGCCATGACCAACGATGTCGATCAGTGTTCATATTACTTATTATTTAATCAGTAACGAAAAAACTAAGTTATATAACAATGTATATGTATATAAATATGTCTGCTTTGGAATAAATGAGAATTTGGTTATGTCAACTATGAATAGTAACTTGTTTCTTGTAGTGCAACTATCGTCACTCTTATTGAAGAAAGAGAAATAGAGTGACTGATGGAATAGAAAGCAAAAAAAAGAAAAATAAAAAAAAAAAAAAAAAAAGAAGAAAAAGAAGAGAAATATTAACGAACAATAAAGAAACGATGACAACATTGATCCAATCTGTAGTAGGAAAAGAAACAACTGATTAAAATAATAGAATAGAATTTGGAGAGCGTCAACTATTGTCATCATTTTCTTGTTCACATTCATTCTCATTTGTTTTGTTTTTTCTACTTCAATTGTAAATGCCAAAAGCAAGAAAAATAATAATAGATTATATAAATCAGTCTTCGACATAAACTCACCTTTGATTTTTTTTTTTGTTTTTTGTTTGTTCTGTACTTTCGATACTCATTTATTCTATTCATTCAAATCATTAAAAACGAGATCATTGCTTTTGTTCATTTGTCAAAAGAACTTTTTTCTTCTTTTTTCTTTTCTTTTCTTTTCGATCTACGTATTATTATTATTATTATGTTCGATTTATCTCAACTAGTAAATGAAAATATTTAATGAATTTGTTTGTTTGAAATCGATTTGTTAGATAAATATTTGAAATAAATATACCTGTCATTAATTGTTGATGTCGATATATTTATATAATAAGTATCTGTTTTTTGTTGATCAACATTGAATAAATGATATGTCGTTGAAGGACAACATAAAGTAATTATTAGAAGAGTAATTATACATAATAAAACTAATAGAACTAAAAATAATATCGAACCAATGGCAATCATTTCATTAATCATATTCTTTATCGATAATTAAATCGATATAGATAACTACTATTTTTATTTCGACGGTCTTCACTTTTTTTTACAATAATATACGTCATTGATTTATTTTCTATTATTCGTTCTTGATTAGTACGCATTGACCGGTGTTCTCTTTCTTTTTTCGTTATTCAGTTCAACAATATATCGTCTTACTTCGTTTTTCTCTTTTATCTTTGACGTTCGTATTTTAAGGACAAACGACCATTGAGCGTTGTATGAAGCATAAAAAAAAAAAAGAAAGAAAAAAAGGTCGAATTGCTCGAAATCCTTCAATTTATGGTTTTAGTAGAGTATGAAAGCAAACACGTGTACAAATACACCGTTTATACTGATATTGAATGAAATTTTTTTGTTAACATTCGATACATAAGAAAAAAAAAAGATTGGTTAGATTACAATAAGTATCTCTTTGATATGAAATAGAATATCTCTATATAATATACATTTCTATAAACTCAACGGAATAAATCATATATGAAATCTCTTCGAACATTCATTTTGTTTATCATTCGATAGATCTCATTCATTATAATATAACAATATTATAGTGACCTTTTATTATCAGCATCTTTGATCAATTATCACATTGAATTCGTTATTTTCGGTTTTGTTTTTTTTTTGTTAATACAAAAAATCAGTTTGTTAGTCAGATGACGAATAGAATAGAGCGAGAGAAACTGTAAATAGTATTTTTGTTTATAATTTTGATTGTTCTTTGAATAGTATAGATAATTTTTGTGCTAACATAACATTGCCTTTAACTTTGAGTTTGCCTTTAGCAAAAAGCTTTAAATATAAATAAAAAGAAATGAATTATTATAAAAAGTAGTAAGTATTAAATCCCTACAGCAGGTGCATTTGCATTGCCCAAAGCTAAATCAAAAAAATCATTATCATCGAGTGTAATTGTTACTTGAGCTGTTGCTCCTTCATTTGGTTTTCCTTCATAGATAATACCTTGTTTACCATCAATAGCTAAACAAATATTTTATATTATATTATTAAATCATTTAATAAAAAACTTAAAGAAAAAAAAAAAACTAACTCCAACTTTGTTGAAATTTTCCATCTTTTGTTATATCAAATAAAACAATAGCACCGATTTTTTTAACAATTGCTGGTTGATTTTTAGCACGTTTATTTATTTCATCAAAAGCAGTTTTAGCTTTTAATTCTACTGATGATGGTGAATTTTGATCCTAAATAAGCGAAATAAAAATAATGAAGAATTATTTAAATAATTTACTTCTTTTGTCATTTTTTTTTGTAGTGATAAAAATGTTTAGAATTTTAGTTAATTATTTGTACATGTGACTAATTCAACATAGTGTTTTTCCTTTTTGTTACTCTTATTTGAATGGTCTATTTGAAAATAAAATAGAGGACGCTCAAATTCGAACATTTATTCCTCTGAAAACTATTCAAATTTGTTCACTATTTTTGTACTTTTAATTTATATTTATAAAACGAAATATTATGTTTTATTATATTCGATTCATTTTTTTGTTTATTAAATTCAACTTTTAAACATAATAACAAATCATTTAATGAAACGTACAATATGATCAATGATTATCACTTCTTTTAATAGAATACGAAATTTTTTTGTAAAGGAAAAAGAAGAATTTTTTTTAGAACTCAAATATGAATGAAGATAATCTTCCATCTAGATTTATCCTTGATCATCGACAAATCGAACAAGTTCTATTACATCTGATGAATATAAGATATATTTCAAATGATTAAACACATCTTTGAAGAAATTGAATCATCGATCGGAAACGAGATTGATTCGTGTTTCTTTCGAATTGAACAGAAAAGTGATTGATGAATCTATTAGAGTATAACTTTTAGATGGAATATATTCTCGTGTTTTTCTTTTAAACAGAATCAATCCGATTTGTATTAGACACTCGATTTATTCTTGTATAGTCAGAACATGATAAATATGATAACTAAAGTGAATGGTATACTCATGCCGGATAGAATATAATATCAATTATCAAACGGTTTTGTCAATATCATTCAATGTAGAATATAGTGAAGCTTTCGAATAAACATGTTCGCCACTTGTTTCTAAAGGAAATCAATCGATAGATTCAATCACTCAAATTTTATTTCTATACTGTTCAAGTTCAGAGAAGAAAATTCTCTTATAATAATATTTTCTTCAGGCTCATCTCTTTAAAAAGTCATGTTTTCGTCAGAATGATCGAAATTAAGATAAATACAGGGTAAGATAGTCCGTGATCTAATCTATCATAAACGACAAAAACTTTTATTCAACAACTCGTTTTTTCCAAAAATTTTTGAATATTTCGGTCATTTGCTATTCCAAAAAAAAACCGAAAACTCTTTCTCATTGTACAGGTTTTCAGTCGCATCTCCCAGAATTCTCGAAAGAGCTTCATTATAGCTAATAGCTTTTTTGTTTATTTGAAATAGCATATAAAACTACAGTGCCTATGAGAGACTGTTTTTTGAATGAAGCTTTATTATTTTGTATATTGAAAGCACTTATATAAATCGAGTGCCATTTTTTTGAGTGTTTTTCGAGTAATTGAATTTGTCAGCACTTTTCTTTGCTTGAACGATAAGAGTTAATAGAAAAAAAGGACTCTCATAGGCTCTACATTCTAATATGCTATTTCAAACAAAAAAAAAGAAAGATTAAATATATAGAATCAAGACCGTAGAGAATTTTTGGAGGCGAAATTAAATATTTTTTGAGCCTTATTTGGTGAATATCTACCTCACAGACCATAGTACAGGAATGAAAATTTAACCATAGCCTCCTCATTACAGTCTCAATATATTCTGAAAATTTCATGTTATTTCAGTGTACTTGGTCTAAGATCGATTTTTGAGGGTAGGACCTTAAAATATTCATTTTCGAATTGTTCAATCGATCTGAAATAATAACTTTTTTGCTTATTCATTAGGAACAATCGATTAAATAATTAATAGTTTTAAAAAAAAACCATTTTATTCGTATAAATTATAGTTTAACATAATAAGAATAAATTAAAATAAACAAAATGAACATTGAATAAATAATAAGATTGATTATAAATGCAATAAATCCATCAAAAAATTCGATTTATTTTCTAATGAAACCTTGTGTAACCAGCCATTGCCTAATACCTTTGATTTCTTTATCTATTTCTACTTGATTTTATGGTTATGTTGATTTGTCACTATATCAAATGACTAAACATCTAAAGATCATCTTTCTGTTTGTTTATAGTTCTATAACAAGAGATCGACTCTTATATTTTCATAATACCCATTCATATTTAATAAATATTCATCGATTTATTTATTGTAAATTTGTTGAAGTCGACACTTTTTTAAAGATTAACAATGCTGCTTTAACTTATAAAACGTTGCGCTATTTAAATATGGCTCGTCTACTTTTTTTAATGCAATTGATTTCTTTTGAGCAAAAAGTCGTTTATCTAGAAAATTCGTACATGAGCAAGAAAGGTAGAGAGTGTCAGTTAATTATTGGTTTAATCGAAATAAAAATGATTGACATTGAATATTGATAGAAAAAAAAAGAAATTTTCATGTTGAAAAGTCAAGAAAAACATAGTTCAATTATGATTAATTCATATTATCTATTTTATATATTAAATAGAGATTTATTCTAAAGCCTATTACACATACAAACAATTAATTGCTAAGTAATACTTCCTTTAAATATCTATATAAAGAGAAATAAGTCAACAGAATTTATTTATAAATAAATTCCTTACTCGAACATCTTGTAAGCAAAATCTTGGCTATGATACAAGACAAAGATGTTCATTGCCGCTCAGATCTTGGGTACAGATGAATTGATAAGGTGAAGAAATCAAAATGTAACATTTCTTGCTCAAGATCTTGACTTAGTGAGAGTTACTGAATATTATTTTGTCATTGCTTGAAACTAGATTGTGGCGTATTGTTCAAGAAAAAAATGATCTTCATCCATGGGTACTTATTAGAGCGAGGATTTCGAAACTTTTTTCAATTAAACATCAGTCTCTAACTTGGATCGTTGTACTTCTAACAGAAATCTGACTTCGGATTCAAATTCAGTATGAAATTTTACATTGAATAGACTGTTTTAGAAGTTCTTAATAGCATCTATAAATGAATTCTAGTCATCGTTTTCGAAAAGTGTGTACTTTAGTCAAGAGCTTATAAATCTGTACCTAAATTTTCAAGATCTGTTAACATTTCTGTATTTTGTAGCTTGGGGAAGATCTTGGACTAAGGTCATCTCTATTTAAATCATTTAGTAGATCTATAACAATTGTATTTATTATAAGAAGCTATGATTTTTCAGTAGTAAACTATGGTCAATATCCATATAGCAAACAATGAAATAAGTTGTTTGAATTAATAACAATTTGGATATTTTTTTTTTAAATTTCTATATTTATTTAAATCTAATTATGTTATATATTGTAAATGGAAAGCTCGTATAATTTTCAACATGACATTAAATAAAACTGCTATTAAATATTGATTTATCTCATGTATATGATAATATCCATGGTTGTAAAGATCCCTAGTCTACTTTCCCGAGACAAATCTCTGGGAAGTCCCCGAGAGATAGTGAAATCTTTGGAGAATCTCTGTCGGGAGTTCCTGAGGAAGTTAAAAAAAAGAAAAGAAAATTTATGATGGAATTCTTATCGAGAGAACCAAGAATTCAAGAAAAAAAAGCGAAAAAGATTTCTGAGGAGATTTGGAAAGTCTTTGAAGAATCTTCAGGAACTCCCAGATAAAAATTCCATTACAAATTTTCTTTTCTCTTTTTTAACTCCCAGAAAATTCCCGTCAGAGATTCTCAGAGCATTTCACAATCTGTCAGGAACTCTCCAGGGATTTGTCTAGGTAAAGTAGACTAGGGCTACTGTTCCTTGTCTATAAAATATATTTCTATATAAATTAAATAATAACCTCGTTCAACTGATGAAATAATGATTATATTTAAATTTATTGTTAAAAATCTTGATAAAAAATAATGTTCTATGAGCTGATTCTTGATTGCGGACACTTTTTTTGCCAATTAAGAAAAAATGTCCGTATAATGAAATGTTCGAGTAAGTCGATCAGGTACATCAATTATTAATAATGACTTTCCGTATCGTAAATACCAAACAGTTTTTAGCGGTAAACTGCAGTATTCATCAAAACCGGCGGTTTACCGCGGGAGCCGGTAACTAGACCAGTAAAACCTCGGTTAACCACCAGTTTTATCATATGGGTTGGGTATTGGTGGATGTTGGGACAAGCGATATTAATATAATGATGATTTAACACGGTTAAATACAGGAACTGCAGGAGTATTACTATTTTCTCGTCTAAATTTTTTAACTTTTTTATCATATTATAATAATAATAGCGCTGGTTTGGGTTCCTCTTCTATTCTTCGCTTGATGGATTTGATGTATTCATATATACACTTAAAGACAATTTTTCTTGATGTTGGAGTTGATGATTTCTATCAGTTTTTATAATCGATGTTTTTATTACGGAACCTTGATGTATAATTATGAAAGATATTTTATTTTAAGTTAAATTATTTATTTCCTATTTATATTCGAATATTTATCGATTAATTAATATCGAAATATATAAACAAATGTTGATTTAAGTAATTTTCTGATTTGATATGTTCTATAGGTTTACTTTTGTTGATATTTTAAAAAATTTGAATATCGAAACACAACAAATCATTTTATTTTTTTATATTAAAAAAATGTGAAAATCATCTAATGATTTCAAGTTCAATAACAACAGCCAAATGATCACTTGGAATTTTACATGATGGTAAAGCAATAAATTCTGTAACTTCTTCATCAGTTGGCATTGGTATAGCACGTTGAAAATTAAATTTTTTTGAATCATAAAAAATATGATCAATAACAGCATGATAATTCAACATATAATTAGTATAAGCATAATTCGAATAAGTACTTAATTCTATTGAACTTTTATAATCAAAATCTTTTATTATTTTAGCATAATCTAATATTAAATATCATAATTAAATATAATATATTTATTTATTTAATTAATTAATAAGAATACCTTCATTATATGATCGATGATTAATATCGGTTAACAAAACACCTGTAAATAGAAGATGAAATGCTAATGATGTCACATTAGCATTGAAATCTCCACTCCATATTATTGAGACATTTTTATTCTATTTTAATATATTAAATATTTAATATAATAGAGAAATTTTAAAAAAAATGAATGCATAATTACTTGTTGTTCATAAAGTTGTTTTATTTCTTTGATACGTTCAAATGCAATCATAACTTGTAAACATCGAACAATATCAGCTTGAGGATGAAAATATAAATGTGTATTACATATAAGAAATATTTCATTTGATTCTCCTTGCATTTGTAATGCTAATATCTAAACAATTATATTATTCAATTACATCCAAAATACACCTGTGTCAAAAAAAACCGGATTACTTTTAGCGGTAAACCGCCAGTTTTAATTCATACTGCGGTTTGTTATATATTTCAACGGTTAACCGCAGTTAACCGGTAATTTTTCTGATGATCTATAGAAAGCGAACGGCTGCAGAACAAAAAAAACCATGTATATGTACATGTGCGTGTCTGTCGTCTCACTTATTTCATTTGTTTGCTTGTTTACAGAAAAGAATCAATATAACGATAGCGAGGTTCAGTTGAAAATTAAGATTTTTTTATATTGAACTTTTTTATGCTTATTTTTTTAGATTAATTCTTTTATATTTACGTTTTAAGATCAATTTTTTTGTGTTTATTTTTTTAGATGATGGTTTTTTTGCATCGGTTCGGATTTTTACTTTCGGCTGAAATAAAAGTCAGATTAATTGAAAAATAACTGTTAAATTTAACTACAAATATTAACAAAACAAAGAACCAAGCGGTGCCAGTTAACTACACAGAAGCATCGGTTAACCGTGATTTACCGGAGAAAACTGGCAGTTTTTTTTCGGTTTTCATGACATAGATAATATTAGAGATGAAATCGGTAGGAAGCTTTGACGACCGTCATCGGTCTTAGTTTCACCTATTCAGAGCGGACCGAATGGATTGCTCTACTGAATGATTCCATATCTGAAGCAATACTGGATCATGACTACTCGGTAGTACTAGTTTCCTTTCTGGTTATTCTTATTTGATCTAGTCAAGTGTCAACAAAATTTGATGATACACCCTCGTCGATGTATGACCCTAGTCAACTCTCACTATTAGAATCCCCGAAGATTGCCAACAGAAATTCTCCAGGGAGTTATCAGTGAGTCTCCCAAAAGTATGAAATCCTCAGGGATTCCTGAGAGGGAGTTCCCGAGGGTTTCGAGTTTTTCAGGGGAGTCACTGGGGACTTCCCAAGGGATTCTCGACTAGGAAACAAAGATCAATAGAAATTTTCAATTATTTTATATAACAAGAGCAAGAAAGTATATAAGATGAATCAGAAGTAATTAGTCTCCACTAGTATCATCTCTAGATAATACTGTCAATTTGCAAGTCTTTAAATCGTTTTATGTGTGTGATAGTATTAATCTTTAATCATTAAATCAAAGATAAAGATCTCGAAGTAAAACTATTATAAATATATTCTAATAAAATAAAATTGAATTGTCTTACTTGTAATGCAGTATTTCGTTCTAATAAATTGGTATTTATTTCTGATACTAATGAACAACGATGACGAATATATTCCAAATGTTCCGAATCACGTAAATATTCACCTATTTTAATATGATGAGTACCAATAGCACTAGAATTATTCATATATATATATTAAATAAAGATGAACATAATAAAATATCTTACGTAAATCGATCTGTTCTATAAAAAATGGCTTCACCTTCTCTTACAGAATGACTTTTTATTTTAAGATCACCTAAATATCCATGTTGTTTTAATATAAATGAAAGTTCACGTTCATAAAAAGAGGTATCACATTCTTGTAATGATATAATATCAGCATGATATCCTAAAATTTCTTTTAATAAAAGTGGTTTTCTATAATCATGTTGAAGATAATCTTCTGGACAATATGGATAGATTATTGGTTGAGCACCAGTTGATGATGCATATCCATTAGCTAATATATTATAAGATACTAAACGAATACTAATAAAATAAATATGAAAAAAAAAATTTTTTTTTTGATAAATTTAAATATAAAAACTAACTAATTTGAATCAATTGGAAAATATTCAGTTGTTAACTGATGTCTTGTATTCATTGGTAAATCAATTGGACATGGAATAATTCGTGTTTTTGATGTATATTCAGCTTGCATACCTTCTCTTAACGAATTATTTCGAGGTAAACATGCAAGACGTACAAATTTATTAACATGTTCATCACCAAATATACAAAAACGACCACGATGTACATGTATCCATTGAGTATCATCATAATCATCATCATTTTCTTTTGTTTTTATATCATCTGTAACATACCAATCAAATAATGAATATTCACAATCACCATAATCGATTTCTACAATTGCTGTTATTATTGTATTTGTTAGAATTATATCAGGAAAACGGAATTTAATAACAGCTAAACAATAAATAGAAATTTTTCATTATGATTCGAAGAAAAAAAAAAAACTTTCAAACCTGGTGCATTATATTCAACATTATAAGATTGTTGATTAATTAATAATTTTCGACAATTAATCCATGCTTGTTTATTTAGTTGATTTTCATCAATTGGTTTATTATTATTATCAAGTAATTCTACAATTGTAGATTGATTTTCATGATCAGATGTTATATTTCTCTCTTGTTTTTTAATACGTTTATTTAATTTATTTTCTTTGATAATAGCACGTTCAATATTAGATTTTAAACGATGTATTGTTTGTGAAACAGGTTCATCAATAGAACGTAATAAATTAAATTGACGACGTATTTTTGTTGAAGGTATTTCATAAACCATTTGAATAAGAATTTTAGTTGAATCATCTTTATCAAAGATAAAACATGTTCGATTATTTGATGCCATAAATAAATTTAATTTTGTTGAACGATAAGATTTTTTCAATGTACCAAAAAATTCTCGACTACTACTAGAATAATGACGAATCAGATCAATATTGAATAAACGAACAAGAAGAAACATCTCTTTTTTTTTTGTTTTTGTTTATATACAAAAGAAAAAAATAAAATAAAATTTATCTCAAATTCATTTTTTTTCTATGATTTTTTCCTCTAATAGAATTTTGATAAGAGTGAAAGGTCTATACCTGATAAAACGATCTTGGATTTTGACAGGAAACACATATTCAGACCCGTTGAATATTCTCTATTTATATTCTCTCTATTACGAAATACTTGAGTAATTCATCTACCTTGGCAAATTACTGAGTCATTACTTTATTTATTAAAAAAAAGGAAAGAATTCTTAAGATACTAGTGAAGAATAACTAATAAAATAAGATATTCGTGTTTTATTGAAACAAATTCATATTTCTGTTTGGCTTAAACATTCAACCAATGAAAATAATTTGTAAGCTAAACGTTAGTTGTTACTAAATCAAAATCAAGAACGAATAAAGTGAAAGTGTATTTTTCTTTGGAATGTATTTCTGGCCTCGTAGCACCACTCTATGGGAATATAGGAATATATAGGAATTGACCACCACAATTTATATAGGATTTTCTCGAACTATATAGGAAATATATAGAATACTGATTTTTGCTCAAGTCTTTAGAAGTCGGAGAAATCTTTCAATTGCATTGAAGATTATAGACTATTTTATTTGATATGTATCTGATGAACTAAAGAAAAATATCTGTGACTTGTGAAAAACAGTATCATAATAAAATATTTCTTTCAGAAATGAAAAACAATAATTTGTGTTTGATCTATTTTCAACTACTCTACAGATACTAAACTATAGGATTATAAACGCAACCAAATGCAATAGAGACCACAAAGAATTTATTTTTTGGTTTACACAATATAGACTATACCTCTTTTTTATACTATTAAAACATCTGTCATACCTAAAAGTATATTTTGAAATATATACAAGTGTAAATCTGTTTTAATTATAAGCAATCGCTGAATCAGTTGTGGTTTTTGTCGTTTCTGTTATTCTTGACCCAAATCATTTTTTCGTTCATTTCTAATCTTAATCAACTGTTCTGCACTTTCGACATCTGTTCCAGATCGTTTTACTTTCAGTATTATCATAATTAGTTAATCTTGTAGCTCTAACTATATCAAGACTATTTATTGATTGCAGATTCTAGTAAACGTCCACTGTTATTGGTGACTGTCTAGTCGTCTTCATGAAGTTCATGCTGAAAATTTTTTAGTTTCATTAATATTTCTTCTTTTTCTTACAATAATTGCTTACAGACTTCATTTACACAAACATGTTCTGTATTTTCTTCCATTAAACGTCTTATTGCTGCTTTCTTGACATTCAGATCAAAGAATATGCGACTTTTTTTGCGAGAAATCTTCAATTTTTCGAAAAATATAGGAATATAGGAAAAAGCCTTGAAATATAGTCCATTATAGGACTAATTTTAAACATATAGGAATTATAGGAAATATAGTCCCACTACGAGGCCAGGTATTTACTTCGTATTGCGTCTCAATTGTACACCATTAAAATTCAGTACTACAAAAAAACACTCCTGCAAATTTTTTGGTTTTTCTGAAAGATAAAGATGATTCGAAGGGAGGCACAATGTATAGAAAAAAATGGTCAGAAGCAATTCTCAGGTGGTAAATCGTTTTTGAGTCGAGAGAATATGCATTATGTAGGCTCTAATGAGCTATGAACACTCTGAGAAAATTTCGTGCTTCTAGCTTATTTCTGTCGAGATATTTGATTTTTACGAGAATTTTTAGCAGAATGGCGTGGTCTCCTTCAGGTTTACGTGAAAAATCACCTTTCGAATTTCAACTTGAAACTTTGTGGAGAGAAAGGTTTCAATGAGACTAGTTTATTCTGAAAGTTTCAGATATTTGGATTCCTTCTATGTCGAGATACGAGTGTAAGAAAAAATACTCTTTTTCATATAACTTATAGCGCAAAATGTTAAATGTGCATAGTTAAGGATAGGAGCAACCAAGAAATTTGAAACTTTCAGAATAAACTAGCCTTACTGAGACCTTTCGCTGTACAAAGTTTCAAGTCGAAATTGGAAAATTGATTTCTTAGATAAACCTGAGGGAGGTCACGACGCTGTACTAAAAGACATCGTAAAAATCAAATATCTCCACAAGAGTTCAATGGCGCATCTTTGCGCATCCACCTAAGATGGATGATGACAGGTTCTATAAAATAGGAAATTCAAATTCAAATAAAAGCCTCCACCAAATCCCGCAAACGAATTACATTATTGACTAATCGTTATTTTTTAGTATACAACGTGTAAGTTTTTCCTAAGTGAGCGAAAAATAAGTGAAGACGGTTGACAAGACTAGTCTGAAATGTCCGTAATGCCCGTCATGTCTAGTCTAAAACGTCTTACACCCTCGTCATGACTAGTCATCTTTAGAAGAAATGTCCTTTAATCATGTCTGGACTAGTCCAGAAAGTCTTTGAATTCCGTCATGTCCAGTCTGTTTCGTCCTACTACCCCGTCCAGACTAGTCTGTAGAACAGAAAAATAATAAAAAAAAGAAGACGAAAAATGGATTCGAACCTTCGACCCGACAGTATTCAATATCTGACGGGTGTCCTGACGACAGACCATGACATAGCGATAGACATGACGTCAGTTTAAACATTCTGACTAGCAGAGTGGCACGCGTATATCTACTAGGCGAATTGAGACGCGTCGAAGACAAGCAACTTGACTAGTGTGAAATGTCTTCAATGGTGGTCAGGACTAGTCTAATGTATCATCTATGCAATTCAAGCCTAGTCCACTTTTTTGAGAATGTTATGTCAATTCTTGTCCACACTAGTCTAAAAATTCCAGATAATTTATTTTGCTTGAGCTAAACTGTGCTGCTACTTCGTTGAAACTGCTCCATGATGAGCAGAAAAAGAAGTAGAATGCAAGGCAAGGAATTTTTTTAATATCTATATTATGGTTAAAAATAACCGATGAATAATTGGACACATTCACAATATGCATCGGATATGAGAATGAGAAACATTTGGCCACTTATCTTCTATTAATAACTTCATGATTGTTGGTTAAGTATGATTTCTCATATTATGATTACGACAAATTAATTGCAATTGTTCAATTTTTATTAATACATATGTAGACTCTCACCTGTGTCGTTGATTTCTTTTTGAATTAGAGTGGCGATTAGAAAGTCCTCCAGAACCATTACTGAAGTGAAGGATAGAAAGAATGTTCTGTACATCCATATTTTAATATAACTCATCATTTTTTATAGTTTCGTTTATAAAAAAATTTAAAAGTATATTGAAACATAAAATAGTAGAAATACAAAATATAATGTTTATCTCGCAGGGAGAAGTTCCAATTTACGTAGTTTAAAATTTATTAAGTGTGGAAAATAAATTAAAATTAATTTAATTTGAAGATAGTTTGAATAGTTTGCGCCCAATTTTACTTTATTTCATTTTGTTTAAAATATAAATTTTGACGATTTAAATTTAAGAATTTATTTAAAAATGACACTAATTTAGTTTAGTTTTAAGTTTGAAATGTGCAATTTAAATTTAAACTTAAATTATAATATTAAAAAACTTAGGTTTTTTTTCATTTTAAATAATTTTTAATTTTTTTTCCATTTAATTTTTTTTAATATAATTAACTGTTTCTAGTTGATAATAATCAGAAGAAATTCTTCCGAAAAATTTATTAAAAAAATTGAAACTTATTTCGTTCAACATTGTCTAAATAATTTTATATCCTCTAACAAATAATTTTTTATTGAAATGATAGCTTGAAAAACTTTAAAATTGTATTACATAGCATCTTAGAATGACTATAAACATGTAGAAGTTGATCGCTTGATTATATGGTTCAATTGTCTAAACGATGGGTAAGTATCATATTGTATGCATGTTCGAATCTTAAGATGCAGTTAAATGCACAATCATAGAAGCCTTACTGTTAGCTACAATTAAGGTTCAGATCTTACAAATCGATTTTGATTTCAAGTTCAATAACAAGAGGCAAATGATAACTTGGAATTTGACATGATGGTAAAGTAGGAAATTTCTTAACTCCTTCCTGATTTAGCATTGTTATACAAGGTTTAAACTTAAATTTTTTTTCCATCATTAAAAATATGATCAATAAGATCATTATAGTTACTATTGGACTTTTATAATAAAAACCTTTATTATATTTGGATAATATAATTGAAAAATTTGATATTATTAATTATTATTTAATTAAAATATATACCTTCATTCTATGATCTATGATTAGTATTGATTAATATAATATGATATACTAATTATGTTAGATTTCTATTCAAACCTCTACTCCATTGAATTAACAATTTTTTTTCTTGATTCTATTTTCATATATTCAATATTTAATATTAATAAAAATGATAAATTAAATAACTTGTTGTTCATAAACTTGTTTTATTTCTTCGATAGATTAAAATGTAATCATAACTTGTAAACACCAAACAACATCACCACGGCAATGAATATATAAATTCGTATTACATATTAAATATAGTTCATTTGCGTTTCCTCCTCCTTCTAATGCTAATATATAAACAATAATCACATATTAGAATTTTCTCTTTAATAAAAATCTAAAGCATTAGCACATCTAATTGATAATACATACATTATTTCAGACTTTTATTTACTTGTTTAATTTGATAATATATAAATAGATAATAACAATCATTGAATTGGACTGATCTACGTGGATTCTCTAGGTCTAGATCATTCAGTTCTACCATGGGAACAATCGATAACGGATCAAAAAATTCTTGGACCCGATAGACTCTACTCACAAAAGATCAATCAATTAGGATTGAAATCGAAAAATTTTGATCAACCAAATTCCGATTGAATGTATCTATTGGTTGGATATCAAAAGCAGGAACATTCGGTAATCCATTGTATCATAATATATAATCAATTGTTAACAGAATCGTTTAGATTAAATGAAGATTAATAGAAATTTTGAATTTGTTTATTTAAT